CCCCAACTTGTGTTGCAAGTCCCTGGTCCGGCTGTGTGTGGAGAAGCGTGTGAATCCCTCTGATTTGAGCTGGTTCTTGGCAATTGCCTGGTGCTGCCACATGGTGAACAGAGAGACTCAGACCCGAATGACTTTTTGTGCCATGTGGCAACTTAAGAAAGTGTGTTGCAAGGGGGGTGAATCAAACCTGTTTAACCCCGCACAAGCATAGGACCAAGAGCACAATGCAAGCCAACAAAGTGCCCAATTTTATTCTGAAAGAACAGAAGTTACATTTCAGCGGATGGATTTGGAAGTGGAAACCAATATTTGTTTACATTACCATTGTGTCTCCATTATACAATGCCAAGCAGTGAGGGAAGAGCTTAGCAGTAGATTTTAATTTTGAAAAATATACTATAAAAAAAATATCTATCTATATAAATAAAAGTTATAGTTTTGGCCCTGCATTTCTAAACTTATTTTCAGTCACAGTACCCTTTTAAAAAGTATGCAAAATCTCGAGGCACCCCAGTCTAAAATGTAAAAAAAATTAAAATGGTATGGCTCTTCCTAGATCCATACTAGACCCTTATTTAAGAGATGGGTCTGGTACTGATTTTAAGGGGGGGCCCTATGCAAATACAAGAAAGGGCAGGATGCGAACTGCCATGCTTTTCTAAATGGATTCCACTCTCCCTGGATTAGTATAATCCATTTCCATGGTGCTGGTGGACCCTGCCTGCACCATGCATAGGTACAATGATGTGCAAAAATTTCAAGGCACCTGAGGAAGCCAAAAGGATGCAGTGGTTGAGAAAGGCTGGTTCAGGGAAATATTGCTATACCTGAATACATGTAATAATTTCCACTATGTGACATAGAAACACAGTGCACAGGTTTTCAGAAGTGGCCCTTTATTATCAAATACTGTATTTACAGTGCCACTATAAATCATTGTTTACTTTATTAATCTTCCAGTACAAAAATTAAGTGCCTACATAAATATGACAGCATCTTCAATGTCAGGCAATAGTATAGTTATTAAAAAGGACATAACATTTAGATCGTGTTCAGCAACTTGTCCAGCATGGCAGCTTAGGGATTTTGTTCTTGTTTTCGATTATCCTGCCCATGTGGTTTCTCCGTGGCTTTTTTTTTTTTTTTTTCTTCAGCAGCACCACTATGAGTTAGCTTTGAAGGGCGCAGTACAGGAATGTCTAGCAGCTGAAAACTAAAGTTTCTTGTCTATGGCAACCAGATTTGTTTAATTTAAATCATGAAATATGAGTGGTTGCTATAGTAACAGCTGCACCTTTTTGCCCGATTTATTAAATCAGATCCCTCATTTACTGTAGAGGATCGCTGACAATCTCCCTCCCACAGGTTTATAGAGGGGGAACTGCCACAAACAAACAATCACATAATTTTCATATTGCCAATTGATCTACAAGTTTCCCTCCTAATGAAGGCATCATTTTGTTCCCAGTATTCATACCAGTCAGTGTGCTGGTTTAATAAGAGCCTGCATGCTTGTGAAGAAGAGGTCTGTTTAATTCAAACGCCAGGACAGTCAGTGTACGTTCTGTATTCTGTAACAGATAGGCACAAACTGACTGCATCTTTATTCTGCTTCTGTATATAGAGGTCTAGAAGTAATATCTTCCTCTCAGACAAAACAGCAATGTGGGAAGAGATGAAGATTACAGCATGTCTTCCATTCTGAAGTCTCGTTTAATACACATACATCTGGGTATTGACACCACCAAGAAACGGTGAATAGGAAACCCCTTCAGTACAGATCCTGTTTGCACAGAAATGGCAGCGGTAATGCATTTTAAACTTGATCAGTTCATGAAAATGTCCATTTTTCCCCAAGTTCTCATGTAGTCCAATCATCCTCGTCAGCAGCCAGTGGGAGATGGAGCAAAGAAATACATGGCTAGAAGTATGAAGTAAACCATGACCAGGGCAGTGCCTAGAAAGAGAAATTAAGTATTTCAGATAAATGATTGAAAATGGGTGTGCACATGTTGGATTTGTTTAGAAGCTAGCAACCCAGTCTAAAATGGTGGCCATACACCTTACAACCATCGCAAGACCTTAGTCTTGCGATGGTTGTAAAGCAATTTGAAAAAACGTACGATCTTGGACAGGCAGATCGTACTTGCGATCCATCACAAGCCCGCCCCCGAGGGGTGGGCTTCTGATGACCGCAATGCTGAACGGGCAGTGTGCACGTGCGGCATTAGTCTCCCGAGCACCGTTCAAACTAGCCGAAAATCGTAAGATTTTCGGCTGGTTTTCTAGCGTGCTCCTTAGACAAAAGACGTACGAGAATCGTGCAGTGTATGGGCACCTTTATGCTGGGCACACACCTTACAACCATCGCAAGACTTTTGTCTTGCGATGGTTGCAAGGTAATTTAAAAAAAACGTACGATCTGCCTATCTTGGACAGGCAGCTCGTACTTGCGATGATCGCAAGCCGCGCCCCCGAGAGGCAGGGTTCCAATGACCGCAATGCTGAACGGGCATCGTGCGCTTGCGCACACCGGCCCCCTGGCTTTTCTCTTACAAACATGCTACACACCCGCCGAAAATCGTACGATTCTCGGCGGGTTTTCGATCATGTTCCTAAGATAAAAGTCGTGCGACCGTACAGTAGCAGAGGTCGCACGGCTCCCACACCTTACGATAATCATACAATCGCAGGATTTCCTGCGATTATCGTAAGGTGTGTGGCCACCTTTATAATCCAATACGGATACAAAATTATCTGATGGCAGCATGCTGCTCTGATCAAAGTGACTACATCTCTTGAATTACTTATATTCATTGACCAGGTCAGCAAAAAGCTGAACCCCCAGACATAATATAGATCATATTTAGAATTTTTGTTTACATACAACTATCATAGCTACCTGAATCCGTCTTTATAAGAGTGTCTCATGTAATTCCCTGAACAGCAACACCCAGGGTGAAGAGGAAGGGGCAGCACTAGGAGCCAATCAGGCTCTGCTGCATGTACAAATGCTGACAGGCACAGAGTTAGGCTGGGTTCACACCTGGGCGGTCGTAATATGCCGCACGATTCTGTCCACAAAACGCGCATTTACGAAATCTAATAAGCGGAAGTCAATGGATCTGCGCGGAAATCCGCCCCAAAGAAGCTCAAGTACTAAGAAGCTTCGATCAGCACTGAGAAACACCCAGGTGGGAACCATGGCCATACCAATTAATAGGATTTCACTTGCGGAGCGTTTTTCAGCACTTCCATCTGCACTGAAAAACGCCCAGGTGTGAACCCAGCCTTAGAGAAGTGACAACACTGAATTCTGCTGTCACCCGCCTATGCTGAGGTGCAGAGGTGAATGAATCACAAGAGTAGCTGGACAGAATTACAAATCATTTGGCAGACTCATCATGTATCTGTATTTTAACTCTGAATTTAGTTGTTTACTTGGAGTTCAGCTTTTAATGGAAATCTGTCACCAACCCAGAACTTTCACTCAGACCTTTGCCTGGAGTTCAGTTTTGAATCTTATAAGCAACAAACAGCTAAATACACAGATATAAAAGGTGAAGTTTTGAAGTGAGAAGTCATCTTGTTAAAAAAAATATGTTACCTGGATATGGGATAGGTATGTGTGTCTGATATATACTAAGTAATAGGAATAAAGGGTGTTGCAGAGAATAGAAATATAGAGAATATTGTATGGTTGAACTAAATAGAAGCGCCCCTTACCCTGAAAATAATCACACTTCCCATCCATGAAGATGTAATTCATCAGGATCACGCTGAACATACAGGCCCAGAGGTGGAGGTCACTAAATATCAGAGTGAATCCCGATGGCTGCAAAAGTAAAAATGATTAAGCATTAGGAACACTGACACAGGTTAGGAAAGGTTTATATGATGGGTGTAGTGTACAGCCTCTGGAGGAAGAAGAAATCCCCACCCACTTAGAGGATAGAACCCATAAATTAGGATGGTGTAGCATTCATATATAGTTTGCCAATCTCTAAAGCAGCCTCTCAACCAGAATGCTGTGGGCACCGTAGTGTGCCTTCTGCCTTCCTCAGGGGTGCTTCGAAATTTTTACACATTTCCATGGTGCAGGTATGCTTCGTATGTGAAGGGGGCTACTGACGTGAAAAGGAAGGAGGGCTCAGATATGAAAGTGGGCTCTGATGTAATGAAAGCTTCTGATGTGGTGCCTCAAGATTTTGCACGCTTTTAAGGGATGCGGTGACTGAAAAAAGGTCGAGAATGCTGCTTTCAAATACTAGTTCCTGGTAATTACCAATTATTACCTATGAAAGGTTCCAACGTCAGCCAGAATAAGTGTACCTACATGACAGGTCTATAAAAAGATATGACTCAGAAGTTCCTATAGAGGTGAATAAAACTTTCCTTCCTATAGAAGTGAATAACACTACCCTTTGAATATATGTACAATTACACTTGGCATTTAGAGGCTTGGAGACATGTTCAACACCCTATTTTCTGTATGTGTCAGTGAAATGAATGTCAAATAAGGAAAAATTATTTGTGACGCCAAGACCAAGCTCAAGATCAGACATACACAAGTGAAATGGTGCAATAACAAGTTAACATTGTACGTGTACAAAGCTTGCCCGCTGTAGCAGTGATCATGGGGAGAAAAGTTACTTACATAAAACACAGAGAATAGGACCAGTATGGGGATCTGCAGCATGCACACCTGAACTGCAATACAAGTTCCAATCTCGATGCTGAGAAAAACAGAGTTCTTATGTTACAAAAAAAGGACACTGAGCAAAAGTGCAAATATGAACACAACTGAAGAATGTCATATTACATATAGCTTTAACTTAGAAGATAGTTTCACTTGGAGACCCCGTCACCACCCCTGACATTTAAAAGTAGGATAAAAAAAAATTTCAATAATTCATCCAGATCAAACAAATATACATTTTTTCCTAAGCACTTACAGTCCTGTTTTCAAACAGCTCCAACTATCAGCTGCAGATCCCTGAACTTCCTTGTTCGCACAGTGTATGGGGCACCCTTAGTGCTAGAAACATAGCCTTGCACCTTTCTCGGCTGACTATGTTGAGGTCATGTGTGGGAATGCGTATCCAGCGGATAAGTATCATCCCTGTATCCTCGTGTGGTTTGTACTGAAGTATGACCTCAGATGCTGCTCCACTTCCTCACTCTGTCTATTCTACACACATTGTTTTGCATCACTGTTAAACTGCTTCACCATTATTTCTCCATCCAGCTCCGTGGCTCCTGGAGCCACTGAAATCACAGACAAGATGGCGTTGCACCAGCAGCATTTTATTCCCCAGAGGGATGGGGACACTGTTCATGGTAAAACCCACATAGGAGGAGTTTGGCCTGCCATAATATTATTTATGGGAGAATTTTTTTTTTCTGCTTCAGGGGATTTTAAATGACTAACTCACAAAAATCTGTTCCCTCTCCAACTTAAAAAATTACCCACTTTAGAACAATCTCTGCATGTTTTGACACATTGCATGGCATTATTAAGGGAAATTTTTTTTTTATGCATTGTACTTATAGCATGTGTAAGGCTACATTCACAATATGCGTTTTGGGATTCCTACAGCAGGAATCGCAAACCTCCCATTTAGATGCAGCCGCTGTCACTCGTTCAAGTTAATGACCAGGTGACAGGGCGCATCTGTAAGCAGCAGTCCACATGTAATCGTATGCGATCCGATTATATGCAGTGATCTATTCCAAACTGCATGTTATCGTATCACAAGATGACTGCTGCTCACAGATGTGGCCACCGTCACCCAGTCATTAACTGAAATGGGCGACAGCAGCCAAATCTAAAAATTGAAGATTTGCGATTCCTGCCAAAGGAATTTGTAGGTACTTGCTGGAGGAATCCCAAAACGCAAACTAACAGTACTGAACACGAGGCACAAAAAAACACTGTTTCCTCTGATGACGGCATGCATCCATATAGGAATTTAAGCCTAATCTGCTCATCACGATTAATAACAAACATTTTCGGTAGATATTTATCTGCAAAAAAGGTGAACTGTCCAGGAGAGTATGTGTATATTGACCTGCAGCTGAATAACCTGTACCTTATCTAGCTCGTGTTTTCTCAGATTCACATCAACAAGGAAACACAATTTAAAGAATTAGCTAAAAAGGAAAAAAAAAAGGCACACTTTGTTGCCTCATTTCTACTTACCTTAGACTTAGGTTGTTGAGTAAGGCAAACTGAATCCCATTAACAATTTCAGGAAGCTCAGGGATCATTGCTAAAACAGTCACCCCAATAAAATACTGTAATGGAACAGAAAAGACATAAAAACAGACAGAAAAAGCCCATCAAAAGCAGTTGCTGGGAGGGGGCTTTTTCTACTTGGGCTGTGAATTAGAAAAGAAAGGTAAGACATTATATAGAATGGGCAGATGGCAAGTAGATAGATGGACAGCAAGTCGCTGTACATGTATACAGTGTTATTTTTCCTGCAATGGTAAAAATTTTAAATAGCCGGTAATGGCTGTTACATACAAGCGTTGCATCACTTGTATGGTGCATGGGAGTGTGCAGGCTACCCCTATGCTGCCTCTGCTGGCTATCCTAGGCTCCGGGACTGGCATGGAAGGTCTTGTTGCCTGGATCGGGGGAGATCAGCACACGTCCACCAGCTGGTCTCCCCCCTGATCACTGAATGCGGATGTGATGTGTACTATAATCACTTGCGCCTGTCAGATCTCTGCAACATCAGCTTCTTTGGGGGTCCCTAGGTGACATTAGGGGTCTATTAGACCCCTGATGTCTGCATAAGGAGGACCCATCACTGTACATTTCCCATCACATAGGAGACTTGCTAGCCCTCAAGGTGAGCAATAAAGTGTGAAGAAAAAAAAATTAAAGTCCCCCGCTCCCACATACAAAAACGCAAAACACACATTGGTTGCGCTTTTGTGCAAAAGTGACAATTGCACCTCACAAGTTACATATCCCTAAACGTTGGCATGCGAGCAATAATTCTATGGCCATCAATCACTTAACACTAAATTGATGAGCGGTAAATGCCTTTAAAGCATCACCTATGGTCAATTTTGAGTGTGGTAGATTTTTGCGATTTCGCAAGCGATATTAACCAGTTGACATCCACGGTGTTAAACCCCCTTCCCATCCAGGCCATTTTTCAGTATTCAGCGCTGCAGAACACCACCAGCTATACAGGACTACAAGTCCCAGCAATACATTATGTTTTTGAGTAGGGATGCACCAGTGCCAATACTGGCTGACTCATACTCATGAAAATGCACACGAGTACACAGATACCGGTGTTCTGTCGAGAGCGCCGACGTAGTCGAATTTGCCGACCTCAGCATCTGCGCTTGCGCACAGACCAGTATTATCGAGGAAACCGGGATTTACTTACAAAGTATTTAGTTTAAATTAATGGTGACCGTTAATATTCCATCCATCATTTACTGCCATGGACGGCATATTATTACCGGTCACAATTAACCATTACAAACGAATACTTTGTAAATTAATGCCGGTTTCCTCGTTAATCCCGTCTGCACGCAAACGCAGATACTAGGTCGGCTTTCGACAGAACACCAGCACTACATTTTTAAACATTGAATCGGCTGCCCGAGGTCCCACGCTTGCTGGGGCCCTCGGCAGCCGTCCTGTTAACAACACAGTGTTTTACACCGGGGGCCTGAAGGTTCTGGTTACGCCTCTGCCCGGCTCCCTCTTCCCAAAGCACCTATCTGTTTACATTACAGATTAGAAGATTGCCAAGTTCCAGCTGGAATGGAGGAACTAAGCCGAGGAGGAGAGAATGACAACTTCAGTGCCTAGCAATAAATGAGGATGAATTACTTCACAATCCCCGCAGCAATAGATCAGTGAGGGCTTGTTTTGAAGCTTACTTTCTGCTTGTTAGGAGTATGTAAATACGTAAATGTCCACAAGCTGACAACAGGTTCAATTTATGTTTTAAGAGCATCTGAGCAGAATATAGAAATATTCTGGGGTGATCTTTTACACTGAGCCGATTTATTTAGGGGCCCCATTATAAATCCAGCTCATTTCCTCTCTGTAGGTAAAAACTAAAGATTCAAGAACTGATCAGGGGTATAGCAAGCGTACTAAGAAGAACTGCAAACACTGCAAATAACAGTCATTAACTAGGTATTACACTTACCTGTGACACCGTGGCTTCTTTAAGAATAGGACTGATATGCTCAGTGGCCAGATCTGCACATGCTGCCATCAATAAAGTAGAGCCAATAAGAATGACCATTGACCGCCAACGGGACCAGTGGACAACAGGGCTATGATGGTGGCCTGGCACTAAAAGGAAAAAGTAAACATACATAGGTTGCCTACAATTACTTGATCACTTTTGTCTGGTGGCCAGTATAATATAGACACACACACCCTTCTGAAAGCAACCTCAACACGTTAGTTAAAAAAAAGGGAAGGAAAGAGAAGAGAAGTTCTGCACAAAGTGTGTTTCAATTTAGGATTCTAATCGATGGGTCACAAATGCAAAATTGCATTGAAACAAGTGAGAGTCTGGGATTACAAACTAGATTCCACTCAAATCTGCATTTCCTTCAACTTACAATGGGAAAAATAAAGCAGCACATATGGCGCTTTGTATTATAGAAGTTCTAAAGTCACAGCATGTACCAGGAGTAGGCAAACTCCAGCCCTTCAGCTGTGGGGCAACTACAAATCCCATGAGGCATTTGCAAGACTGCATGGTTCCCAGATGCATTTTGTAGTTTCACCACAGCTGAAGGGCCAGAGTTGGTCTACCCCTGGCATATACTATCCCATTATAACATCAGCATTGTAATAGGAATACATACTAGAGTTGTTTTAGATAATACAATCAAAGCTTTCTTGAAAATAAAATCCTTTTTATGCAGCGAGTGCTGCCTTTTACCTGCACATACTGTTCCAACAACTTCATGGATTCCCAGTGTGCTTTGCATCTTTTCCCCTGATGCGATGCAATCTTGATTTCTCAAGACCACATATCCCATCATACATTGCTTCCAGCATGCAAAGATTATGTTATATTGTGGGAATTTCAGACTGAATTGTACTTCAGACAACAAGGTTAGAATAGTGACACTAGGAAATGCATATTCACAGGGCTGAGTGAAATTGTATCAGTGCATTGAGGAAGTACATCCTGTGGGCATCTTCAACAAGTTCACAAACCTCTAGATTGGTGTGGTTATTATTAGGAGTGGGATAGAACTTATGAAAATGTAATATAGAAAACACATTATTAGCTTTTGACCAATCAAAAAACTGGACAGTTCTACACAGACTACTACAGATTATTGTATGCAAACCTTTAAGTATAATCAGTATTAATAAAGCACACATAATTCCATCTTGTGTCCTCTTACCATGGCAATCACTGACGTGAATATCGTAAATGTGGGAATGAGTCTTGAGTGTGAAGATAAGTCCTATGACATAAGCAGCAGGCAGCAGAATACACACGGTGTACACCAAGGGCCTGAAGAGAAGTGGAACCAGAAATAAGAGAACAGATGCAAAATCACATCCATCTATCTTTGATATGTTTACTGTGGACAGTCCGTTACTAAATCCCTACAAGATAAATGGCACCTCATTGTTTTGGAAGCACTAGGACAGAGCTTGAGAGACAGACAGACATCTAAAAATAATATTCTGTTGAACTGTGGAGCTGTCTTGTTTTTAGACTGGACCTTCCAACCTCTCTTGCCCTCCTCTGCAGTGATCACAGTTATAGAGCCCATTCACACAGCATCCAGATCTCCTGCCGGACCAGATTGTTTCCGGACCCAAAATGCATCCTTATGTGTCCCTATGCTATTTCCGGACTCTGTTCCCACCAGCCCAGTCCGTACCAGAAAAATACTGCATGTCTCATTGTCTGGCCTGGAATGCACTGGAACTGCGGACAAGTTCACACCATTTTCTAGACCAGATCTGGAACAGATCTAGTCTGGAGAATGGTGTGAATCTGCCCATAGAGTGGAGGACGCCGAGTAAGATTCTATTGCTGCAGTGGAAGAGGAGACAGGCTGAAGGGAGGGAGTAGTGACAGCTGGTTGGCTCGGAGCTTTAGGTGGAGTACTTTAGCATCTAGACATAAAGTGAGCATTTAACCCTTGCATTGTGGAGGTAGCCCCACTGCAAGGGTTAAAACATTTTTTTTCTGGAGTTCCCAATTGATGTAATGATTTGCACCAACTAATGGTGTTCAGGTAAATAACTCCTGACAGAACAAAGCATAATCCTGGCAATTGCTAGAAAGATAGGCCAGTCGAAGTTTTACCTAAACGTATGAAATTATTTGCACCTTCTGAGCCATAATAAAGAGTTGATGTTCACTTGACATAAAAATGTCAAAGCTTAGGATATAGGAGGACCGAAGGCACTATACTATATGTTTCACATTACAAACATCTAAGATTGAAGTGCATCCAACCAAATACTATATTGCAGCTTAGAAGTCCTTTGATATGACGACTGCATTTGTTTTATTCTTCAGGGTCTCCCCCCGCCTAATTTTCTTTTCAGCTTACAGGAAGTGGCAAGGACACATCTCTGGCAACATCAACAGGTATTTTCTGTTCTTTGTGAAAATAGTTTAGCCCTGGGCTCAAAATTTCCACTCGCCCCCTCGCAATTGGCGAGTGAAAATTGCGTGGGGGCGAGTGGAAATCCAGGGAGGGGGGGGACTTCCGCCGCTTCGGCAGCGCCGATCGCTGTCTGTTTCCTCCACCCGCAATGATCGGATGCAGATAGGATCCATCCTGTCTGCGTATTAGTATGGACATCCGCACCCGTGCAAATGTGCAGTTCAGTTGAGCGTACGGCCGCATCCTCCCATAGAGAAGAACAGGCTGCTGCGTACAAATCACACGCAGCAGCCTGTCCTTCCCGGGAGCGGCCTGATACAGATCCGTGGGACGTGCACGGACGTACGGGCCGACTTTAAGCAGTTTGAATGATGCCTAATAGTGCAATCTGTCAGAAGCTGTATCCAAGAAATTTTGAGCCCTGGTTTAGCCTATGGGCTGGCAAGCTGCAAATATTAAAAGTTTTGTTTTTGGGTTTAGCTATGCTGTAACCTTCTGACATTGCCATGAGCAGCACAGTTCTTTTAATCGTATTGATATACTAGCCTGGTTATGTGTATTGTCTAAAAGGGAAACAATAATCGTCAATGATGTCAATTTAAAATAAGCATTAATACATGACAGAGGATTCCCAGAGCACTATGGGTTAGGAGCATAGCATGTGCTGCTTGCTTTGCAGATCTCCTTTTTAGGATAGAAACCTTAGAAATCCAACAAGAGATGAGTCACTGCTCTAACCACCTTTTACAATTCTGTACAAAATATATTTCTTGTAGGCCTTACATAAAAAAACAAAAAGCAGACCAAGAGCACCATCTGCTGCCTCAAAAGGAGGATGCAAAAGTCCTAACCATAGTTAAGAAAATATGTGCACAAGCTCTATACATACCCTTTAAAATAAATGTAATGCATTCATCAGTTTCAATGGATGACTTAGGTTGCTTTAGTATTGAGACCCTAGATACAGGCTCCATTTTTTTTGTCAAAAGGAAAGTGTAAATGCCTGATGACACATGCATACAGATTGCTCACCTTATATCATTGTAAAACATGGTGCCGTTTTGTCCTGTCTGTAAAGCAAGATTTATTGTTAAATATTTGTATTAAATGAATAAAAAGTATGCCACATAATGGGCAGCCTACCATGACAGAGAATATGAATATTTCCACATTTTTATTACTTCTACTTTGTTATATTGGGACATTCAATCTACATAGTGCTAAAACTTGGGATCATAATGAACTGACCTGGGATATTCGGTCACTCAGCTACACAAAGCAGTCTATGTGAAAGTGTGAAAAATAGCTGTGGCCTCTTTCAGCAGGATAACATGCCCTACCACAGTGCAAAAATGGTTCAAGAATGGTTTGAGGTGTTGACTTGGCTCCCAAATCTCAATCCATTCAAGCATCTGTGGGATGTGCTGTAAAAACCAAGTCCGATTCATGGAGGTCCCACCTTGCAACTTACAGGACTTAAAAGGATCTGCTACTGACAGCTTGGTGCCAGATAACACAGCATACCTTCAGAGGTCTAGTACAGTCCTTGCCTCAACGTGTGGCAAAAAGGGGACCCACTTATGCGGGTGGTCATAAGTTTAAAAAAAAACTGTTTTAGATCTGTTTTCTAGTATTAGTAGTCCGAACATAAAATACAAAATGCATAAACTGTCCATTTCTTTTAGGGTTAAGCACGCCATAAAACTGAATATGACAACTTACCAACTCTGTGTGGCAGTTCTGACAGATATACTGGTTTGTTCCATTTTGTCCAAAGTTCATACAGTCTCCACAGATCATCTTTCCATATACTTTGGAGAACAGTGTAGGCGCAAATACACCTGAATATCAGCAAATTGACATTTATAAATCTATATATTACACAGACAGCGACGTCATCATAGCATCCAAAGTATTAAGAGTACAACAAAAACAGATCTTGCACTGTACACAAGATTGTGAAAACAATGCTATAGACAATCCCCATGAAAGATTACATTGACAATGAACTTTGCATGTGTATAAAGCCTTGCCATTTGTCCGCAGCTCCTAGTCAATGGAGCATACAGAACACAGTGACGGAGGGGTTAACAGGAGGAACCACGACAGTACAGCACGGGATTCGTTATCCAACTCTGGAAAGTGTCGGACATCAGCAGCGCATGGACCTCTGAGAAGAACAAAGTTTCAACACGCCTCCCGCACGTTCAAACTTTTATGCGCTACTTCTGTTCACTAAGGAAGTGACGAGGTCATTTTTACATTAATAATGTAGTGGTATAGTCTTACCTATGGACATACTTCAAAAAAGAATGCACATTTGTAAAGTACAGTGGTGAGCTTTACAAATCTGCTTATGGTTCACTTGTTTTGAGACCTGCCACCTGACCACCCCCCTGCTCCTATCAGAGTGATCTCACCTGGGTTCATAGAACATGGTAGGCTCCATACCTTGTCCTGCAAAGAGCACATAGCAGTATCCATTCTGTTACATTGAGGGCCCATAAAAGGTTAAAACTGAGAAAACCAACCAGCGCAACCTGTGTCAATCCATCCTAAAGCACCCCTCATTCTAAGTATCTGAGGGACATCTTCTCAAAACACAACAAAAGTACACAACCAAATCCTCTCCCCCAGTGTCCGCATTTTCAATGATCAGCAATTCTGCTCATCTATTAGGACTCGAGATGGCCAAGGGGACCAGATCTTATTGAATTTGCATTCACAGGTCTGTTAATATGAATGCTAGATTACACAGATGTAAAAGCCTTGTTAACACATCAAATACATTGCACCAAGTAGGTAGGTGGGTGGATTCATGGGAGCACACTTCCTTCTAAAGTTCTAAATCAAAACTCTGCATTCTTGTTATACACTCACGAGTAGAAACTAAAACATGGATTCATGGTTAGTTTATATCACAATAAATATTCAAGCTGGCCAAGTTCATGCCGTTGGATTTAGTAACAGACTTTTCAGTTCTCTTGATTGTTGCACTGGAAAATGGTCACACAGATCAGGCACACTTCTACTATTAACTCAGTGTCCAGCTAAGTTTCAACACTCCCCCTCCCTTCATAGCCGGTGAATGTATCTATACTTCGAAAAACCTGACATAAATTTGGTAAAATTATAAATCCTGTATTTACCCATTGGTAACACCGGCCTTTCATAATGATAAAATCATACACAATACAGTGGGATAGATGGAAGTAAATTGCACGTTTGAATATAGATTCTGGAAGAAGCATGTATTTTAGTTTACTAGAATCTAGTCTTCTCACCTCCTACAGAAATGAATAGCAATGCAGAACCAACTCCAGCTGACCTGCTATTAAACCTCTGCTCCTGATGCTTTATTCCACCAATGATCATACACAAGCCCTGCAAAAAAATTAAAAATAAAATAAGATGAATGGCCCAAGGACAAAACTAAGGATGCACTAAAAATGGATCTCTAAAGAACAGTTTTTTGTACATTTTTGAAAGCATGTGAATGTCCCCCTTGTGATTAAAATTACATTAGTTAAGTTTAAACTGGACAGTAAAGTACACGATGGATGCAGATGGAGAAACAACCCCCCCCCCCCCCCCAAAAAAAAACAGCTCACACTATTTGTCATAACACACCTTAAAATGACACAAGTCAGGAGATAAATATCAAAAATGCATTCAAGTACCTTAACTATTAACACAAATGTAGCTAATTTATTTACCACTCGGCTGTAGATCTTCAAATCATCTCTGAATTGGTGCTCTGGAGACATCAAGCCGGCACCCTGGTGTAGCACAGAGTATGTGGCAACATATTCTGAATTCCTGGGATTTGTAGTACTCTATAGCTGATGGTATTATTCTGCATTGCTGTATAATCCATTGCTGGGATTTGTACTCTATAGTTGGTGGTATTCTACACTGCTGGACGTATTGCAGATATTTTGTAGTTCCCATACAGCTTGGAGTCATCAGCAGAACTACCAGGTTCACAGCAGTCACAGTGGCGACTGGGCCCTGGTGCTCCACCACTGTCCTAAAATCATTAGTCTGTATTGTTTTAGAAAAACGGTTGCATGACAACAAAAAATGTATTCGTTCTTTTATCTGAGTACTTGGGCAAGTATCAGTTATATCCGTGCATCTCTAAAATATATTTATGAAAATATAAAGAAAAAACTCATTACATTAAAAACAGGGATGCACAAATCCAAGGAGCTCCCTATGCTTCTTAAAAATGACAGCTGCATCCTAACTTTTGATTTTTTCTCTAGTCTAGTCTTGAAGCTGGAAAAGTATCTGTACATGTACCAGGTACGTTATGTGGTAGCTGAACATCCCAAGTAATTGGTATAAAAAATGTAAAAAAAAAAAATCGGTACTCTTAGTAAGTCTGGAATAAAATTGTATCGGTGCATCCCTAATCGCAACACAAATTAGTAAACAAAATATGAGATTGTAGTCCATCACAGAAGTGAGCTTGGAGCGGTGACTACTTTACAACACACACAGGGACCATGGGGAACAAAAGTAGTCATCCTCCAGAAGGAAAGTGTCAGCATGAATTCAGAGAGAATTTGAGATCTGCAGCTGAGTGATAAATAAGGTCCATTTTTGTTAATGGTTAATATACTTGAATGCATTTTTAAGGTTTAACTCCTGACTTTGCTGCTTGAGCTGGGAAACTAATCAATACTTATTTTTATTCTTTAAAGTGACAGGCACCTCACCCTGTAATAACAGCACAGGACTTCTTCAAAAAGGAGAAAAATAGACATCAGTGGGTCTAACTAAATGTCTTACTTTAGCCCAATAACCACCACAGCGAAAGCCCTCCATAAAACCAGATTAGAATAGCCAAATCCTACTTTGAAGAGTGTGTCCCAGTCTGACACAAACAATGTCCCAGTCATACAGTACTATGAAATTCGATTTGTCTTCGATTACAATGGGGTACAGAATAATGTATGGACAAAACCACCACAGACCGCTCTGGGGCTTTTCCAGTAGAACCATGAAAGTTGCATTTTGAATGATTATATTTCACTGATCCAAGAGTCCATGCAGAAATAAAAAGCATCTCTATAGTATAACCCATGCACAATTGTATATTAGCAAGTTTCAGACCTAAAGGCCATCGCATGTAACATTTCATATAGGAATATGTATACTAATGAAGTAAATGTATTAGTATGTAAAACAATACATTTAAAAAACATATTAACAGCTTAAATGGACCTTGTGAGCAAAAGTAAGTCCTAAGGTGTGTACAGGTCCATGATTTACTTTTAAAATTTCAGCACATAAGTTTGTAAAAACACCAGTTCTAAGACATAGCTATAGGCCTAGTTACATTAGTGTGCTCTCAATCAATTCTGACTCCTACAGGACGATGGCAGAGATTTCCATTACACTTTAGCAATGTACCAAGGCAGGGCGACAACATAAATGCTGCAATAAAATAAAACTGTATTCAAGACATGTAATAGACTCACAGGAACAAAGAGGACACACCCCAGCAACGTGCCAGTCAGAGCGGACTTTACCACCTCTTCATAGCACTTATTATCTTCCCGTGCCCCTTTAATCAGTGCAGTGATGTAGAAAGTCAGTTCAATGATTGAGCCAAATGTAGCATTCACCACAGCTCCCACCGCAAAGTTGCTCTGAGCAGAGATACTATATGGTGCCATAAAAAGAGAAAAGAAAAAAAAAAAAGGGCAAAATAAGTAAAAAAGTAGGGAATTTACTAAATTCCCTAAATGTAGGGAATATTGCAGCATATGCTGCTTTACGTTTAGGCAGAAGTCATTCTATTTCCAAAGTAAGAATCACATTTTACTGCTGCTGGATAAATCTGCCATGATAAAGTTGTCAATAGGGATGTCTCTGAATTCTAGGACTAAAAAAAAAACCCCACACACATGGCATATACTTGACAACTGGCTGTATACATTTCCTGCAGGCAACTCGGAATAAATCTACTATAGTGGCAGAAATACAGCATTTCATGCAGCGAAACAAAAGGAAGTAGATAAATGCAGCATTTGCTTACTACACATTTTAGCCCCCTTCACACTGTCGGATCAGGAGAGGATCCGAGCACTGATCCCCCTCCTGATTGGAGCGGTACAGATCAGATATTTAATAGTTAATAGTTACACAACATGAGACTACAATCTCAATACAAATTAGTAAACTAAACATGAGATTGTAGTCCATCACAGGAGTGAGCTGGGAGAGGTGGCGACTTTACAACACACACAGGGACCATGGGGAATAAAAGTAGCCACCCTCCAGAAGGAATGACCGTGTCAGCACCAATTCAGTGATTATTTGAGGCTCTACAGCCGAATGATACACAAAGACATTTTTGTTAATAGTTCAGGTACTTGAATGCATTTTTAAGATTTAACTTTTGGAGTTTAGTGTCACTTTAATGTATCAAATCTACCAGCTAGCTCGAGAGGTTGTGGCTTTGAGGTAATAGTTCCACCACGGATGGTGAGAATGCTTCTTAATGCGACCCTTTTGGTCTGCAGTATGAACTGACATGAACCAGTACCTATGGCTCCAGGCCCCAAATGATCGGTTGACAATACTATTCCACGTGACCCTAGCTCCATTAAAATCCTATAAGTCTTTGGTACCCTCTATCTTTTAAAATGCAGTGCATGAGCTAATGGAGAATGAACAATGGGCCTACAGTTTGATGGATCAATAGGACACCTTATTAAATGGATCCACTTCACCACTACTGAGACATACATACAACTGAGAAGTACAGAGAGCTTAATGCATAGATTGGCTTCATGAACAGGTCAATTGAACAAGTTGTTTTCAATGTTAGTTTATTGCTTAAAAAAAAAAAAAGGAAGAGGAAAGGTCAGGGCAGATAGGGCTTGGGCACCAAATCACTCGACCATGTAAACTGGAACACATATGATGAAATGTAGAAAGCTCAGCAGCGTTATGGCAATGCCGAACTGCCTTATTTGAACTGATGTGACGTGCATGGCTGTCACTGCCATATAGGCATTATATTGTAGGCAATACAAATGGGATATGTATATTCATAGACATGTTGTAAAGGAGGAACGTACTGCTTTACATACACATGCACACCCCGATCAGCTAGAACATTATGACCAGTGAGAGATAGGAGAAAGCTGATGGAGGCAGTGTGATGCTTTGGGCACCGTTCTGATGGGAAACCTGCTATTTATTTGGATGTTACTTTAAACACGTACCACCTACCTAAACATTGTTGCTGACCAAGTACACTCCTTCATGGAAATGGTAGTGCCAGATAGCTGTGGCCTCTTTCAGCAGGATAATGCTCCCTGCTACGTTACAAAAACGGTTCAAGAATAGTTTGAGGAACACAACGAGTTTGAGGTGTTGACTTGGCCTCCAAATTCTCCAGATCCCAATCCAATTGAACATCTGCAGGATGTGCTGGAAAAACAAGTCTAATCCATGGAGGCCCCACCTAGCAACTTACAGGACTTAAAAGGATCTGCTACTGATGGCTTGGTGCCAGATAACAGAGCATACCTTCAGAGGTCTAGCAGAGTCCATGCCTCGAGGGGGGTCAGAAAAAAGGGGACCTACTCAATATTAGGCGGGTTGTCATAAAAGGTAACGGCTGATCGGTATATATCTTCCATTAGCCTGACATCAAGGCAAAACCCTTGTGACCCTGAATTAGTTTTGTTTTTCTAGGCAGAATTGAAAAAAATTGGGAACAATGTATTAAAACCTTACCTTGCAATTGCCATTCCAATATAGTAGGAAAGCGGCATTAAGGAGAGCAGTGAGAGCGTGAATTTCACAGGTGAACTGGTATAATAGTTGTGGCTGTCAACATAGCCAAGAACCAGTGATACAATCACCAACACAATCAGATCTGTAAAAGCTGGTTAAGGAGATTTTGTAATTCAATCTGTGGGGGGCCCTGATGGCACCACTCAGCTTGACGATGGACCATTTTTAGATTAACTTGTCATAGGAGCTGGGAATTTTAAGTGGAATAGTGACTGTAGCGGATCAGCTGCAGTTACTGCTCGGCTATTTTGATATGGGTGCCGAATGTCAAAATAGTATAGCCAGCAGGTGAGTTTCCTCAATCCACACTTTTTAGCGCAGATGGGGGAATCTACAGATGTGTGCATGGCCAGCTTTAGTATTCACACAAGTGTAATTTCCTCAGGCGTTTGTTGATAAAATATTGTACTGCTCTAGCTTTTAACAAACCAGATCTTGATAAACAGACACTTGTTATAGAGGGATATATGTAGGCTGCCATTGACAATCACTTTCTGAAATTCTGGTTGCCTCACCAAAACAGTAACTTCAAATTGATTGAAGCCTTCAATCACCAATCTGAAGCAAGCATGCACAGATTTAAGTCAAAGATCCTTACCTGCATACTTGCTTTAGGTCAGTAATTCTAAACATTGTCTGTCTGGTTGCACAATCAATGGCAACTGCCATCCGTATAACAGGTTCATCAAAAATAGTAGTACAGATAACAAATACCATTTAAAAACCAAGCATCAATTCCCAAACTGCCAAGAGTTGGTCACACAAACCATTTTTTCCCCCTTTTAAAAACATTTGTGCTAGAAAAATGATAGCCAAGATCTTTGTTAGCAGAAACATTTGTGAAATGTGCATGATTTTTGGTTATGGACAAACATTGTGTTTATGAATTTATATTTATACAGGAGTAGTCATACACCCGCTTTGAATCCTACGATTTTAATAGAGAGGGGTCAGCGCATGCTGAAGCACACAGTGCGTGGAAGTCACCAACTGTCTGCAGAGTCAATAGCTACAGACCTCCAAACTTCGTGTGGCCTTCAGATTGGCACAACAACAGTGCGTAGAGAGCTTCATGGAATGGGTTTCCATAGCCGAGCAGCTGCATCCAAGCCTCACATCACGAAGTGCAATGAAAGCTTCGGATGCAGTGGTGTAAAGCACGCCACCACTGGACTCGAGAAGTGGAGACATGTTCTCTGGAGTGACAAATCACGCTTCTCTGTCTGCCAATCTGATGGACGTGTCTGGGTTTGGCGGTTGCCAGGAGAACGGTATTTGCCTGACTGCATAGTGCCAAGTGTAAAGTTTGGTGGAGGGGGGAGTGTGGGGTTGCTTTTCAGGGGTTGGGCTTGGCCCCTTAGTTCCAGTGAAGGGAACTCTTAAGGCATCAGCATACCAAGACATTTTGGACAATTTCATGCCCCCAAATTTGTGGGAACAGTTTGGGGATGGCCACTCTGTTCCAACATGACAGTGCACCAGTGTACAAACCACGGTCCATAAAGACATGGGTGAGCAAGTTTGGGTGGAGGAACTTGACTGGCCTGCAAAGAGTCCTGACCTCAACCGACAGAACACCTTTGGGATGAATTAGTGCATAGACTGCGAGCCAGGCCTTCTCGTCAACTCAATGGGCCAACTCAATATTGAACCCTACGGACTTAGACTGGGGTGGCATTAAAGTTCACATGTGTGTAAAGGCAGGCGTCCTAATGCTTTTGGCAATATAGTTACTTCCATAAAGCAGAACTACACCCTCCTAACCTTTGCAGCCAAGGAAGGTGCCATGTTAGCCTCTATTTGGATTGCAGTTGCCATGGTGCTGCACATATCAGCTATGACATCAGCCATTTGAGGGCTTCAAAGTTCAGGCAAGCGCTGAAATAAAATAAAAAATAAAAAACACACTGGCAAACCTTGATAGCTCTTACCACAGGCATGCCTTGAATGTAATCGTTTTGACAGTTAAATTGGTGGGTCTAGTTCTATTTTAAGCAATCCCAGAATCCTCTCCTTTGGCTTGCTTCTAATCACTGTTTGATTGCTGCTGGGTGCCCCCATCTTGTTTACGGTGTCAGCAGCTCACAGACAGCAGTGTACATGGAGTTCACCCAAAACTGCTCTGTGATCTTGCACATTAGAGAAGCCAGAGACAGCACCCTTTACTATGATTGTAGGGGGGGGGGGGGAAAGGGAAAAAAGTGCAGCCAGG